GCAGGGGGGTTGGAGATTCATGATCCTTGAGGTCCCTTCCAACCCTGGCAATTCTGTGATTCTGTGATTGAGCAGCTGATTTGACCACATGACCTCCAAAGGTCCCTACCAAGCTTAACAATTCTGTGTGATTCTGTGTCTATGTGAAGAAAAGGTGTGTTAACAACCTAGAAATAAGATCAAAATAAGCACAATCATACATTAGGAAGCACTGTATCACTGCAACTCAACTAGTGGTGATAAAAAGAAAAAAAAAAATCATTTCCAGAGACCACAACACATCAGCTCAGAAGTGCTTCAGAGACCTTTCTAAGTACAAAAAGGCCATCTCAGAGGCCATAAGAGCATCTGAGAGTTACAAGCAACAACATAAATTAAAAGACCACTGGCAGAGAACAGTACTTGACTGTTAGCAGCCTCTGCAGCAGTACTAAATGTGACTATATGACCCAGAAGAAAGAAATGAAAAAAAGCACCGTCAGCTCGTCGTTAAGGAATCAAAGCACAAATACGTGCATCTATCATGAGTAAACTGCAAGTGACTGCAATCCTGTTTTGTTTGCTTTTTAAACCAAAAGATACTTCTACTTCCATGATATTCAAAAATAAAGCCCCTTGAAATTCAGCTACCATAAGGCTAATACATTCTAAATCTTCTATAGCGGACTTCAAGGCATAAACTTCCCCCTTAATATTAACCAAAGAATTCGTTGGAAAAAAAAAAAAATCATGATACAAAATAAAATGATTCAAAGAGATGCACTGGTTAAGCCATACACTCACACACAGTATAAGCCCTCAGGATATATATTTTAAAGACTGTTTACTAACCTTTACAGAAGAAAATACAGTGCACGTGAAATAAAACAATAATAATCTGAGTTTAATAGAGTAATCACACCTTTTAGAGAGAAAATATGCATAAAATCGTTTAGTTGACAGGTCAATTAAAGTATTCATTTTAAAATAATACAATTAAATTTATTACATATAAAGAACACTACATGTTAATACACTTAGGATTATTAAGTGGATTCATATAGATAAATAGAAGATTTTGCTTGTGTATTCACTTAACTATTTTTCTACATGTGCAATTATCACTCTTTGGAGGAGTAAGCATTCATTTGTCAAGTTGCGTATTTTGGTACAGGCTATGTAATTCATATCTTTGTATACAATTTGTTATCACATACCCAGGTGTCTGCATGAATAGGCCTGATGTTGCTGAGAAGCACCTCTTCATAATTTCCATAGTCAGAGAATTTAACAACTGCAGTCATTCCAGAAGAATGGAGAGCTTCAACTTCTGCCCGGTAGAACTTAAAAGAGAAATTTTCGAAGGTCATAAAATAACCTGATATACCACAAACAGCTTGAAAACAATCACTTCATTTTTACTCTCCTCCCCATTCTTTTTCTTGGTCAGCATTAAATTTTCAGTAAAATTTGTAGCAGATAACTATTAATTAAATTTTCACTTGTTCCATGACTGAAAGGTTGTGGCTGTATGTATTTAGAATACTCACTGAAAATATATGCTACTTAGGACATTAGACTGAACATTTAAAAGATCTGTTTTCAAAGACAAATTAACACAAACGATGTTGTATATAAGAAATACTAATGCAAGACTTTCTTTTTAATTATTATTGCTGCTTAAATATATGCCTTATAGGCTTACCACATACTAAAAAATGATTCTTCGAAAATTCTTCCTTTTTCAACGCTTTGTCACTTATGCAAAGAAATCAACTGTTTCTGAAGATATTTTTCTTACTGAATGCAAATAAATCATTATCACCTAACATGATTAAAACTCAATACCGTATTTTATCATTCTATTTTAAAATTATCCTAGATGCAAGCAGCAGCATTTGTTGTATCTATAAAAAAAACAACCATCATTGAAACACACTGAATACTTTCCAGGCAGCAGTGTCATATCTGCTTACTTTGCAAGCTTTATGCTTTTTAGAATTTTAACAACACAGTGACATAAGGTGCTTCTCAAGACAGGAAATAATTCCTTAATATACCATTATATTTCAAATGAATCTTTCTATCCAAGATATATATACATATTTAAGCTCCAACTCACTACATGTTACTGCTATCAAAAACTTTGCATGACTTATCTCAGTCAAATAAGAGAGAGAAATAAAGTGACACTGCTGAGGTAACAGTATTTATATCCTGTAAAAAAAAAAAAAAAGTAACAAAGAAAAAAAACTTTAATACCATAAAATTAAATAAAAAAATTGACAGAAATGATAGGAATAAAACCCATGGAAAGAACATTAATATTTAAGGTCACTAGAAAGGGTCAAAAACCTGAAGAAACAGCTAAGAAGTGCACACATAATGCCTGAACAGAAGGCTTTTTTTTTTTTTTTTTTCCTAAAGCAGAGGAGGAGGAGATGAAAAGAAAGTCTCTTGTCATAAAATAAATCTTATTAATTGGAAGAGGAAGTACTTAAGCTTTGAAAAAAAATCAGTAAAGTAGAACTGTCATACATCAAACTTCATTTGCTCCACAACTTCTTCAGCTAATAAACTAATATTGATAATAAAAATCCATCTTTTTGCAATGACTGAAATAAGAGAGGAATTTGTTTCAAACAGTCCTGTCCCTGCAGCCTCTGATCCTCTCTTGTAGTAGTGAGGACTGCACAATATCTTATTCTAGTAAAAGGCATTATACATCTATAGTTAGAGACTACTCTCGATAACCAAGCATCCTGGTCTTATTCCTTAGAAAGTAACAAGGGCACTTAGACCCATATTAATTCCTTCAAATTTTAAACACTTACATGAAATATATTTCAGATAGGAGCCTGCTTATCCCAAATGAGGAACACTGTCGAGATGTTCTGAGTCACATACTTTCAAGAAATTAATACAATCTACATATCTCCTTTTAAAACAAACAAAAACCACCCCACCCCCCAAAAAAACCAACCAAACAAAAAAAACCACAACAGTAGAACAAGACAGCCACGAAGCAAGGTATACACCTATGAACAAAGTCCTCTGTCTTTGCGCTGGTGTGCTAAGTCATCCCCAAGTATATAAGAAAGCATCAAAACTTTAATTTGAATTACTTGATATTTGGCAAACACATACCTTGTTGTCTTCCCAATAAAGAGCAAAACATTCATCCCCAGGTCTCCAGGTTTTTCCATACTCTGAATGAATTGATGGTTCTATTATTTTCTCTGGTTTGATGGGCCCAGATCTCCTTTTGGGTGCAGTGTTGTAATACAAAATCTTGTCATCATAAGATGGAATCACAGTAGGTCCTGACAATTTGATAGGCCCTACTCGTCTTCCTTTTTGATGATGTTCTGTATCTCCATTTGGTATAGAATTAAAATTATCAGTTCTACCAGGGTTTTGGTAATCATTATTCACACCAAAATGTTGCTCACTTTTTACCATAAAGGTTTCATTACTTATTGTTCGTGCTTTCCTATCACAAAAATTTTCAGAATTGTGCATTTGATTTTCCCTTTTCCCACGTTTCTGGTTATTGTTGTCTGTAGTATCTTGAGCAGCAGAGTTCTCCTTGAATTCTGTGAAAGACACCCCTTTTCCTATTCTGTTTTGCATATTGTTATCCCTTTTTTTAAAGGAAATATCACTCTGGTGAGCAGCTATGGGATAACCCAAATCTTTTGGCCTATCATTTCTAGGATAATGTCTGTCACTTTTAATTTTCTCGTCTGTCCAATGTTCTAAAGAGTTGTGCCTTTCAGGACCTCTGTTTCTTTGTAATCCCCCGCTTTCCAAAGCCTGCCTTGAATTCTGAATATCTCTTTGAAAACGAGGGGGCTTCTCATTCCTTGGTTGTCTCATGTCATTGCGAGAAATATGCCTTGAATGATTTTCTTTGATGCCATTCTGTTCTGTATTCATAACTTTGGGCTGTACTTGATGTGGTGGTTGAAATTGTAATTTTGGTTCTATAAAGAGAAAAAAAATAATGATTATATATATATATATATATATATATATATATATATATAATATAGAAACAGTGGATCAGATCCCTAATGATAAAGCGACAGTACTATTCAGAAAAGCAAGTAGCATTTACTTCTGAGGTAAATAAATGGAATTGTCCTTTAAAGTTTAACAGATATTTGAACTGCAATTACTGGCTAATAGAAAACATACAGATTTGTCTTGGTGGTACTTAACTTAGTTATTATTAAATGAGTAACAAACATTTAAGAAAGACAAATAGAATTCTGATGTGAAGAAAGGAAGAGGCAGGGAAATGAGAAGAAAAAATAAATAGTTGTCATCTGAAAATTTTAATTCAGTAAAAATAAATTGCTAACAGCTGTTCATCATTAACATAAAAGCAAGAAATAGAATTGATAACATGAACTAGAGCTAATGGGAATAGCAAAAATGTCTGTAATTCTGAAGACCGTGATCAATGAGCCATAGCAGGAATTATTCAAGTGCAACCTTTTAAAGATTGAGTCAGAACTCTAACTGATGTTAAGTGGAACAAAATTATCATGGACCTAATGAGAAGGAGTAGATTTTCTATTGCACTGTGGGGTTGGAGAAGATCACAGTTCTGTAGAACTTACTGTGGATTTTTTTATTTTTAGGCAAATGTGAAATGTTTTAACTTTTTATGAAACATTTAAGGGAAGAGCCAAAGGAGGTTGTAGATCAAGATGAATCTAAGAGGAACAAGCACAAGAAACAAATGAGCTAAAACATGACATTTGTGACAGAAAAGGCTGTTACTGATACCACATAATTTCATTTCAAAATTATGATAAGGGAAATGATGTCTGGGCAAAGAGTTAAGAATAATACTAGAGAGCAAGAAAAACTCTGCCAAGGAAATGTTTATAAACCTTTGTATTTGGTCAGCACATCCTTTTGTCATGCATGTTCTGCAGACAACAAGTATTCCCATCAACAAAACAGTAACTGAGTTAGGTGGGATGCTCATATCTGGTGTAAGTGGAGGCAAGATTTCACAGGACAGTGATGTTATACAGCACCATTTGAACTAGTACAGAAGTATTGTCTGTAATTATGGAATACATAGCTGAAAAAAAAAAATGATAAATGAGTTTGTTCAGAACAGTGAAAAAGCAGTCTGGAAAGAAGTTTTTAATCAGATACTACGAAAATGCAATCCAGACAGCTAACATAGCTGATGGATAACATACAGGTAATTACATTTTATAAATATCTATTAGGAAAGCAAATTTTTATAGCTCTCTACATAGCAAGAAAGACTTATTATGCAACAGTTAAACAGTTAGAAAATGAGTATAGAAAAATCAGTTTAGAAATTAAAGGCTTTTTTTTTTTTTAAATGCTGATCTTTAATTGTTGAAGCAATTAACCTTGGAATAGAATTATTTCACCTCCTTTAAATCCAAGCTGCACATTTAAATTTGTATTTCAGTCAAAGCCTAGCTGTTGGTGCAAGAAACAGAGACTACAGCCTGTGACTTGCTCCCACCTCCCAAGATCTTTTAAAAAGACTACCTAGATGTTCCACCTCTCTCTTTTTCTGTGATCCCATTATTTTTGTAATTTGTTGCTCAGGAGATTCATTTTAACAGCAAGAGCATGAAACATTCAACAGAAACTCAGCATGTCCCTTTGGAAGACTGAAGAGGCAATTCTACACAATCTGAAACTGAAGATATTTGGGCTTGGGTTAATGCTGCGATCAAAAATATCATTATGTTTATCACCAACTCTCCTACCTAATAATTTTTTAAAACAACAAAACAACAGTAGTTGTTAAATTTAACCTTTTCTCGAATCTTTCAAAAGTGTCTGAAAGTTTTTTCTGACTTTGGATTTTGAGAAGATAGAAGCATCAGCTTGTTCTCAGTTCCTAAAAACCAAAGAGAGATACAGTAGGAAAACGTGCCTGGTCCTCAGCAATTTTATATTCTTCCTTAATTAAGTCAGAGCTCTTGATACTATTTGTTCTCTGAAAGTTCCTGTGCTTACATATTTAAGCAGGCAAAGATGGATGAACTGTTCCTTATAACCAAAGAAAAACAAGAAGATTAATAGAAAAATCATTGTGTTCAGTAGCAGAAATAATTTAAGGGCAAGTGAAGGAAGACAGTTTCCAGACATTTTGTCAACTATTTCTGTTATCTCTCTCAGTCAGAAGGCTTCTCTGTACAATCCAAACAGAAGCTACTTATTTTCAACACAAGTATTTTCAAAAGATGGCACTAACCATTCATAGCTAAAAATAAATAATAGATAAACCTGTAGTATTAAACTGCTGTGGTTTTTCTTGGTTTGTTGTTTTTTCTTTGCATTTCACTTAAATAACGAAATATTATGTTTAATGATTAAGGAATTAGTAGCTCATGTCAGAGTCTAACCCATAATACTTTTGACAGCACTAGTTATTTAGAAGTTTAGAAGTAAAATAAAATAAAATATTTCAGTAACTGTAAAAATAAGAAAAGTGAAAAAGCCCACAAGATACCACGGTACAAAAGAGTAACACACCATATTTTTTGTGTGTTAAATAACTAAGCAAATAGGAAACTATTTTAACGTAGACATTTTTCCTCTTTGTCTGAATTAAATTAGAGAAAACCTACCAAAACAATGACAACAAATTGGTTTGTAGTATCTCAGAATGGCTTAGTAGGAAAGGATCATAAAAACCATCTAGTTCCAATCTCTCTGCCATAGACAGGGCTGCCACACTCTACATCAGGCTGCCCAGGACACCATTCAACTTGGCCTTGAACACCTCCACAGATGGAGCATCCACAACTTCTCTCAGCGATCTGTTCCAGTGCCTCACCACACCCCCCTTCTTTTAGTTTAAACCTGTTTTCCTTGTCTTATTACTACCTGGCCATTTATCTGTTCACAAACAGAAGCACCTAGCTTGGTAATTGCAGATTCAGAAGTGATTTTAGAAGTTCTCAATAATGAGTAGTACTAAGGTTTCAGGCCGAATTAGAAACACTAAAGCATGGAAAGATGCACAAAGAAAAGCAAATCAGTGCTCTCTGTGACAACGTTCTCTCTAGATCAAATAAATTATTTTAGAAGAAAAAGTGATGCTGCAAAGAATAATAATAAAAAACCTTTCAGTTCAGAACTGCTTTCTGTTTTTGTTTCTGTGTGGACACTGAATCATTTAGAAGAAATTAATATCTGCCTGAAGAGTACAGAAGCCTAACACTTGTGATGATGATAAATATGGCATCCCAGGTAGGTAACTATGTGCTTGGTCATACGCTTCATTGTACAACTATATATAAAACCTCTGTTTCTAACCAAAATGTGTCTCTCAACATCTAAAAAGAAAAAAACTGGCATTTTAGAGACCACATCAGTCAGCAACATGCCAGAAATTCTGCAGAAGGATCAAACTTCTTTATTCAGTGGAGGTTGTATGATGTCCTAGATAAATGCAGAAAAACCTGCCCACCTAGGCCTTCCACAGTACAGCTGCTTAATAGAAAAACCAATGAAGAGATCTTATTATCTTATTCTTGGTGATACAATGTTATTTATTTAGTTGTTTCTAGTAGTTCCCCTAATGTGCATTCTATACCACTACTTTTTTAATACTAAGGATTAGATACAAGTCTGTATTGGTAACTTACAGGATCAAACGAAATGAAAAAGCTGCTGGTAATACATACAACATTTTCTGCAAACACTTGGACACACATCTCATGAAGAAAGAATTCAAAGGGGTAAGTATAATCACTGTAGGTACTCTGTGCAAACACTGAACGTTCACGTCACCTCAGCTTCAGTGGAGGTGGCAATATTTCAGCTTGAAAGGAGATTAAGGCAGTATTATTTAAAAATTTAAATGAGTTAATTTTCAATGACAACAGAGGCATAAAAATTGCAGAATAGTAGCATTTTCAGTAAATGGTTTTCTAATAAGTGTTTGAATTCGGACTGCATAGGTTTTCTCAAACTTGGAGAAGAAATGTAAGATTTCCAAGAGAGAAAAACCACCTGCAATTTAGCATAAATTTAGGTATCTCTTGGAAAGTTCATTTGAAGGGCAGTCTGCAAGATAAATTAAAGTCTGGCATAAGAACTGAGGCATGCTCGTATGGGATTGACAAATTCAGTAAGGAAAATAAAAACAGACTAAATGAAACTAAGCAGTCTAAAGCCTGCTGTCTTCTAAATAACAGGAAGTACAATTATATTTATTATTATTTCTCTAGAATGAAAAAAGGAGTTTCCTATTAAAAAAAAAAAAACATACCTAAAGAATATTTTCAAATTTTTCTTCAGAACTGGTAATGAGAGTATGTTTTTTTCTGTGGATTTTGTTTTTGTTTCTTTTTTTGTTTTCAGAAAGCACAACTCAAGAAAAGTATACCAAATTGCACACTGATCATTCAGGGAACGCAAAAAAAAAGTTAAAAAAATAAGGAATGTGAGTGTCACATCACAAAATATGTCATATTTTTGGACAATTGAGCATGAAGACTTTATGACTTTATGTAGAACTACACTTTTCTTCTCATGATATTTATGAAAACTTTTTATCTTTCATTAAGAGGGGAAAAATTGCACAAAGCAAACTGTATTTAGGTTTATAGTCTCCATTTATGTGTTTTAAACTGAAATATATGTGCTACTATAACCACTGTTTTCTAACAAAAACACACCACGCTTTAATACACTACAGTATATTGGCTACATGCACACTAAACCAAAAGAATCATAAAACTCCTGCTAAGCAAACACTCACTACACACCAGCAATATCATTTTAAAAGAAGCAATTCAGTTCTTTCACAGTTCTTAGTAAACTACTATTACTTACTGTTAAATTAGCAACAATAAGAAAGGCATATATCCCACAGGGATTATTTTTATTATTTTTCCTTTAAAAGCCTTACAACCACACATAAAAGAATTCTCTCAATATCTAACCCTCTCTCTAATCTCTTACATAAGATATCCAAGAACATATCCAAGAAAAATCAATGTGTGTAATGCGAGAAGAAAAAGCACTACCACTGCTCCATTTTTATTCACTGCAGAAACCTACTTCATTTTTGTTCAACAGAATGAGCTGTCAAAAGATAGATCTCAAACCTGATTTTTTATATATGCTTCTGAAAATACGATTTTGAAATTATTACTTGAACACAATTTCACAAAATTTGACCTGCTCATGCAGAATGCTTCTGTATTTGAAAGGGATTTTCTTCCAAGATTTTAAATTTCTGGAAAATACGATGAAGAGGCATGATACAAATGTGCCATCTTCCACTAATCGAGTTTAATAAACAAAGTCATGTGGATTCATTCCATAAATGAAATATAAACACTACATAAGAAAAGCAACTCCAATATACTTTTTTGCTCATTTTCTACTATTTCTGTAAGACCTAGGGCCAAGTAAAACGTAAACCAATAATTAACTACTTAAAAACACTTACTTTATAGGGGAGAAAAAGATACTGATGTAATGAAACTCAGCACAGGAACAACCATAACATAGTAATATATATTTGCTATTAAAAGAACTATAAGCTATCGCAATTAAGTGAATGCTTTTCTGCTAATAGCTAAACTGTAGCACATCAGAAATGTTTCATGAACTCTGACAAAGCTTATAGTCCACATCACTGTATCTTCCTAGCAAGAGACCTCTGGATTTGCTAGTAATTCCACTGACTCCTAACCTCAACTGCTGCTGCACATTTTCTTCGACAAAATGGTTGTCCTTTCTTTCCTGCTGATCCCTCCTTCTTGAATGAAAAACATTCCCTGTGCAGTTTCAAAGACCAAATTTCTAAACTTCTCTGCATTTTTCATTTGAATATGCTGAAATTTTACTGCTACGGGCTTCCAGAAATATTAAAACATATTAAAGCAAAACATTACTCTGCACATGCAAGTAGAGACTGTAAATGGTCAACTTCAAACGTAAATGGTCAGCTTCAAAAACAACTAGAAAAAATAATGATCACGGAAAAAAATGCTATGCTTTTAACAGGAATTGGATAGTTTTAATAATTCCAACATAAAATTGGGGTCTCAATGCCCTGACCCAGTCTACACAGATTCATGTTTTCATTTCTAACTCAGTAACTCATTTCTAACACTGAGACAGAAGTACACAATATTAAGCAACTAACTGTTAAATTAATTGTTTCATTTTTGTACCAAAAAAAAGACATTTATACATGATAACAAGAGTTAACACATTCAACAAAACATCTCTGGCCTCGTTTGAAATTTCCTGTATACCTTAACAGCCAACAACTTCAACCTTTTCACCAAAAATTTAACATCAATGCCCCCAAACTCATCTGTATACATTTATTATAAATTATAAATATACATTTATGATGATTAAATGTATACACATATATACAGACACACATACCTACATATATATCTATATATTTTCAGAAGTCAATGAGATAAACTAGTGCTTCATAAATTCCTATTTTCCTCCCAAATTTAAGCAATTTCTCTGTCCAACATAAATTAAGCATCCACAAAGGGTCCCTGTGTAAGACTAGATTACTTTTCAAGTATTTGTCATTATACAGTTGTTTGCACTTCCATCACACTCTCTGCGAATTCCAATATACTGTGTCATCTCTTTTTAGGTAGAGCTCACAACTTGCAAGAAATTACTGGAGATACTAGTGAAAAACAGCAGTACGTCCTTTTCAAAAAGGGTAATACATAACACTCCACTGAATGAAACGTTTCTAAATCTGTAATATAAGAAACCAGAACTCCAGACAGAAAAGTCTCAGTAGTGGTGAAGAACAAGTTAGTTGTATCAGTCCTGAAGGCTGATTTACCCTAAATATACATGTATTCTTCTGTCCATCCTGGCTTTTCTATACTCTCATTTTTTAGCAACATAAATGCCTCTGCCAACTTCCGCACAATTTCTGCAGTCTTTAATCTATTAAAAAAGTTTTGTTTGCACACACTTAATTTTCAGTTATTGATGGAATATTTGTCATTTACAGCCTGAATTCTTATAGAAAAAAAAACACCACTAAGGGCTCCAAATTACAGGTGGATGAAAAGGCAATATAGGAACTCTCTTAATATTATCAATGGCCATTTGGAAGGTCCCTGATAGGCTAAAGCTCTATTTTTCTGTTGGAACTGGAAACAATTTTATTCTTCAGCTTTGCTGTGTAAGTTATCACAGTATTATTTTTTTTATGAAACTGTCATTTCATTTAGAACATTCTGCAGTTTTTGCTAGTATTTCTCACATGGCTGCATTATCAGCTATTTCTGAAATTTTAAATCAATTCTGAAACATTACAGCTTGTCCATTCAGGTGTAGGGATAGTCTGTAACAGATCTTGAAAGATTTCTTTAAAAAAAAAAAAAAAATGTGTAGCAGAAAAAATGAATTGGGCATTGCAGTAGGAAAATAAAACTAATAACTGTTTTCTCCATTAAGTATTTTCTTTCTTTTTTTTCTTCCACTTCTTTTGTTCACCACCTTTTAGTGCATCACTTCTTTTTTAATTATATCCAGCGAAAGTAAACAAAGTATTACTAAGAGACAACAGAGACTATTTGGGAACTCAGTTTGAAATTTCTATATCTAAATGCTGAGACTCCTTAAATGCACTCACTAGAAAACACCAGTTCATGTAAATTAGTATGACCTTTATTTCACTCTTTAATAAAGTGTTATTTTATAGGGAGAAAAAAATTACAGCTCCACCACAAAACTTGACATTAAATAATGGAAACAGATATTTCAATTTCACATTGCCTACTGAAACACTTCCAAGGCAAAATAACAATCTTCTTTTATTACTCAGCTTACTGTGAGTTTTACTTCAATATCACAGCAGCCTCTAGAGACCTCAGGATGTATAAAGTGTAAACTTTTTTCATTCTAATGGATCTGTCTGTTAAAACTTCCGAAGTATGAAGTGATTTAGACATAACCAGAAGTCTGGATCTGAAGACTGCATTCTTTTATTGCTTCTCAAGAAAGAAGAGGACATTCAAGTAAGAGCCCACATTTTTTGTGCTAGATCTTAAATATTGTTTGGCTTCTCTCTGTCTAAAATATCACCTCTTTATCACTCCCTACGGTTATTAAACAGGAAAGCTATGAAAAATTGGCTGTTTAATATATCGTAGCAAAATGTTGGGGGTTTGTTTGATTGGCAAATAAGAGTGAATAAAAAACCAACTTAGCTCACTGCTCTTAACTGAGCACCACACAGAATGTACTGTTCAGAAACTGAGGAAGAAGAACTGGAGTTTGGAGTTTTTCCCTTGAACTACAAGAACGCCCAATAAAGTTGCAAGTGTCTTTATCAAATTATTAAGTGGTATTTTATCTAATCTGATTTCAAAATTACTAACCCTCAAGGTACTTAAGCCTGAAGCTATCAGCTTTTTGACAGCCAAGACAGAAACACAATCTATCACAAGTGTAATTTATTTGACCTTTCTTCAAAGGAGAGGAAAAGCTCTCAAGCACTCCTTGTTTTACTGTTGACTGTGGCGAAACTTGCAGAAGCCAGTTTGTGGTTCTGCCAAATATTGATTACAGATACTTCAATTTCAATAACTTACCCTCTACAGTTAAAGTACCCATTTTGGATTCTAAGAAATCAAACAGCGTGCTTGGTGCAGACGGTCTGGTATTTCCTAGCTCTTCTTCATCTTCAGGTCTTATTCGGCCTCGGCCCTTTCCTTTACCTGTAAACATTAAACAGACCTTTTTTTAGGGGTGAGGGAAGAGAGGAAAAAACCCAAACATTTATTTTTTTATTATAGGGCTTAAATGACAGCAATTTTGTACTCTGTTAAAAAAACAAATCAATTGCAAGAGAGATATTTTCCATGTAAGGTGATTTCAAATCCAGAAATACTGTAAAGGATAATACACAGAGAGGCCTTCTCTAAATATTCTCTCTCAGGTTTACAACGCATTCTAACTTATTAAAAAAAAATGTAGATATACTTTATATAAGTTAGATACATTACTAATACATGGTAAATAAATTCCTTTGCTCCTAAACACTTCACTTTAAGGCACATCTTTCCAAGTTGTACCTCTAGGTGGTGGTCCCTGAAGGGGCTTTTGTTTACTGCTGTTCAGAAGAAAATTTAATGCTGCCTCTAGGTTGTTACTGTTATCCATAAGTGCCTGTCTTGCTGCTTCTTTACTGAAGCCCATCTCTGTTATGTGTTTTAAAGCCTTTTCATCAACCTGAAATGAAAGATACAAACAAATAATCATAAGCTACCACAGACTCTATAAAATCACCAGATATTACTTTAACCCTCCATTAATAATTATTTTTTTCCATACTGTATTGATGATAAACATTTTAGATTAACATATGGCATTCATAGACAAGTTCTCTTTTAGTTCTAAACAACTAGACAGTAGAGACTTTTTCCAATTATTTTCATGTAACTCATTGATTATTTTGTTCTAATATTAAGCAGTTTCAAGCAGAAATTCCCCTTTTCCACCTCTTCCTTTATTGTACAGTGGAACAATCTGACAGACTGTAACACACTCACTTCCTCTTCAATAAAAAATAAAAGGAATCTCTCTGAGCAGTATTAATGTAGTCTTCATTTCTCTTTGAACCCTTTCAAATTTATAAACAACACCAAAAGTGATTACGCATTTCTTAAAACAAGGAGAAAATGTAATCTGAAAAGGTTTCAATAGGAATAAAAAATACAAACAACCTCCCTCTTCTGAAATGTATATAGTATGATCAGAAAAAGGCCAAGCAAGAATCACAGACTGTGCTTAAAGGCCTCAGCTGGGACTGCCTCGTCTAGTGCGGATATGCATTAAACGTGAAATGGGGCCAGGCTTTCTGCCTTTCCTCATCTCACACCCAACCAAAATGATGCCAATGATCTATCTACTACAACAGCTCTACTACAACTTCTCCTGAAGTCTCTATCCATTCACTTTGTGTTCAGCTACACTATATGCTCTGGGACAAGAGCTATATGCAGATCTCCTATTTGGGGCAGTGGCATAAAATTGGTGTCCACTGCTATTGTTTCAGTTCAGAGACTTAAGCAAGCCAGGAGATATAACAACTCTAAGAACTTCAAAAACTATGCTTTGAAACCCAAAAATCACTGTAATGAGCAAGACATAGTTATATTAACTGCTTTCATGTTCTTAATTTCACTTCTTAATTTCAAAATTTAACAGTATTCTTCAATTTAATGTCCACAGATTAAATACATTTAACACGTACTCAAAATCCAGTGGCACTGAAACATGACGTGAATGCCTGTATGAGATCATCAATGCACTTGAGTTCAATTTTCAGTTGCCTAAATAAAACCTTACTAAGGCAGTATAATGGTTCTTCATCTGAGCCATTTGCTGAGATTTCTATGCACGGCAACAAGGATCCAACAGAAAAAATTGCTGCTTTCTACTGCCTCAGCAAGCCTGCTTCACACTTCTCCCTCTTGAAAACATGTAGCTGCTTTGAATCAAGACAGAAATTCCAGCTTATTCTAAATCACTGCCTTTCACTCGTGGGAATCCAGTGCATGACATCAAAGACTAGCAAGAAGTGTGGGCTCATACGTACCTACGCTACTTGTACTCTAAGCAATGGATACAAAAGAAATCTTTGTCACAACCTGAGACCCAAAGAAAAAGCAATTTCTCAGATACAATGACTGAAAAATGAGGGAATATCCAGACTATCTTTGGACATCAAAAACTTTCCCTTTAACTCATTTACATAGCAGAGATATTGCTGGTTCTCTTACAAAGATCTGGAATAGAAAAGATAAATCCTACAAGTCTGCACAATCTATTGTCTGTCTACAAAGAAATAGGAGAAACCACTATTTGTGTCTTTTTCTGTGACACAGTGTTTCAACTTTCTCCCAAGGTAACACACTGGATGGATGGAATAAATACATTTACTCTTTCTATATTTACAAGGAAATTAACTACATACATAAACATCCAAATAAACTCCATATCACAGTCCTAAAAACAACCAAAAAAGACCCCTTGTCTGCTGCTTTTAGTCCTAAAATCATCATTTACAACTGAAGAAGGCTTTCTATCTAGACTTAGTGGGTTTATATTCTTTTAAACAGCAAAGTCCATTAAATGACATTAAGCTTCAAAAAACTGAAAGTACTGCCATTTTACAGTACAATGTAAACCAAATCCCCTGCAGTTCATAGGAAAAACGGAAAATAAGTATTGCCCAATTTAAATGGAAGAGAGCCACTGGTGTTTTTTTTCATTTGCTATAAAGTCTATTAGGTAGATACAGCTGTCAGTAATGACAAAATATGTATTAAATAGAAGGATGACTAAAAGACCCTTTAACATCCACGTTTGTACAATTCCACATATATGTCTTAATGGATCTGTATATTTCTCAGCATAGGGTTGAAGATAGCACTGCTGGAAGCTATCCAAGTTGCAAGGAGATAGCACCTATCTGACATAATCAAAATTAAGCACTTACTGTTCTTAGGTGTCTTCTGACTGTTAAATCTTTGGTACAAGTAAAGCAAGGTGGAAGACATTTCAGCTATTTATTGTTGAATCTACAGTCATTTACAGTCAATATTTTAATACTGGTTCACTGAATTATTAAGTAGTGAAATCAATTTCAGTCAGCCTGCTTTCATAATTCAAATCATATTCATTAATTGTTATTGTGTACTTGGGATTAACTCTCCCACTTACATAAAATTCATAGATTGCTAAAGCAAGTGAAACAAACTTCAATGACCGCTCATCTTATATCCAATTAATTCAATACAGCAATGTTAAAAAATTCTACTCAGTAAGCATGAAATTATGAAATGCTCTGAAAGCGATTGCTTGGAATTTTGAGGTACAATTCAGATTCTCCAATGGTAACTCGTTTTACTCAAAACATTATTTGCAACTGCGTCAACATCACATAAAGTGTCACATCAAAAGTATTTCTATCTCAGTACTTTCAGTGTCACAAGTACAATTCAGTTTTCTCAATGTCAAATGAATGGTTTAAAATTCTTAAAATAAATATTAATTCAGAAGTTACACTGAAATTTCATTTGATGCACTGAACGCGAAGGATGAAAATCTCCTTGCCTAACATGAATTAATAACTGTTGATGTGAAAGAATATTGAGCTTATTTGAATAACAAAATTAAAACAAGATTGTAATGACCTATACCATACAAAGAACTACTTTTCTTTTGTGAGGACATTAAAAGAACATTAAAAGTTCACAAAAATCACGTTGAATCTCAACTATATCAGAAGGACACAAAAGGAAAGCTCTTATTCTTCAGGGTTTTTTGGGTTTAATTTTTGTTACTTTCGCTTTTTATTAACAGAAGTGTTTATGGTTCCATTTAAATCTTATACCTTACCAGTTCTCTGTAGACACCTTCATTTTTTCCCTCAGGTTTTGTTATCTTCTCTTTCTGGAAAAGTTCCCTGTTTCGATTCCCTCCAGCACTTACACTAAGATTACTTCTGCTGTTACCACCACCTCCTCCAAATGTCTTGGTCTTTAAATAAGCACAAAAATAACATTTTAGCTAACGGAACTCAGGAAAATAAACCTTAATATTTAGTTAGTACAAAAAGTGCAGTAAATTTGATGCAGCTGTATTTGTAACAATTATATTTTGCATCAACAAGTAAAGCTCTGATCTACACACATACACCAAAAAGATGAATTTATTAGGTAGGACTTCTTGATTATTACCTGATGTCTAATTGAGGCTGTAAAGTGTGCGTAATTGTAGTTTTTATGAGTTATCAAGCAAATAATAGAAACAAATCACAATTGCTATATCCTAAAATGGAAAGCCATGGGAGGGCATAAAAATCTGGCAGATTAGAGCAACATTTCCTAGCTGGTGGAACAGAGAAAATCACAGGATTTTCAGAACTGAAAAAAGCAAATGAGTTTCAGCAACCTGCATTTTAATTTTCTTAATTTATATATAATTTTTTAATAGAGGTATCAACATAAAAATTATATCTACAATAAAAAATTATGATACATTTATTAGTTTTATTCAAATAAAAAAAATACTGAGCAACCTGAAAAGGTTCAATTTTTGACTCATTCTTAAAGATATACATGAACAGAATTTTAAGAAGGCAAGCAAAGTACTAGTCAGTGAGGAGACAAAAACTTAAAATAACAAGAAAAGATCAATTACACAAAGCAAAATGCTACAAAGGCATTCTAACCTCCTTGCTCTTTGCTACTTCTGCGATGGCAGCTGTTCTTTGTTTTTCAAATTCATCATTGTCAGCAACAGGTTTTGCAGTATTTGTCATTTGCAGTGTCTTTCTTCGATCAAGCTCTCTGCTATCCACTTGCATGTGAGATGCACATTTCTGACAACACAAAGTAAAGCTTTAATTAACTCTTACCTACTCCCATTTGCAAACAAACAAACCAACCCAAAGCATTATTCCACTAAAGTAGTGCAACTTCAGAAAAAGAATACAACTGTGGACATCTAGCTACCTTTGCTGAAAGCAAACACAACTCATCCAACAGAGATGCCAAAAAATGACTTTTATACTTTAAACATATTTCGTGATACAGCAAATATGATTCTTGTAAGTACCTTTGTCATTTAAGGGTATTTGTTGGTGCCTCCAAGATTTTGTAGTAAGAATCAAAGATCCCATAAACCAAACAAAATTTTAGGTTTGAAACTGTCAATTTATATTTTTCTCTCAAAGTGTCGGGATTGAAACCTATATCCCCTCTTCTCCTCTCCCTTTAAACACATTTCTTTTTTTTTTTTTTTTTAATTCAAATCATCACAATATGAGGTGTCTTGATAGCCTTTATCTAAATGGAACTAGCTCTCTCTAGATATCCTAATACAGATTGTTCTATTAAACGTCATCATGGCTTTAACTTGTATGCCATACCTAAATTACAAAGAAATATACTCTACCTGTCCAAAAGGCAAAAAAGGGGGAGGGCCACCTTCTGTTCCAATATTACTCCTACTGTGTTTTGCTAAACTCTGTAAAAGAAAGTTGTTGATTAAGAAATTGCAAACAAAAATATTATGATAGATGTCAACATTTCAGAAAATACATGAAACATCCAAGACAAATATTTTAAGCATGAAAAATAAAACATTTTACGTTTAAAATCCTAGGGCAGTTCACATAACATGTAGAAGGCAGGATGAGGGTCACAGAGAAGAAGAAAACACTCAAAATTGCAGAATCATCAAAGCAATAGATACAGCAAATGCAGAAAATTGAGTTTTATCCCAATTCTACAACAGGAGAGCAAGGCAGCACATGAACAGGTAGCAGATTTTTTTATATATATTTATAGCACCAGCCATTTGCTTTTACAGGAAGCTGTAAATACAAACAGTTAAATAGGGTTCATACAAAGTAAGCCTAGAGAAGAGGAAGGTCTTACTAACTTTATCAAGGTACACAAGTACCTGAAAGGAGAATGTGAATAAGAATTCAGGCTCTTCTCAGCAATGCCCACTAACAGGACAAGAGGCAATGGGCACAGAGTAAAACCCAGAAAGAGCTATATTACATAAAGGTGACTGAACACTAGCACAAGTTGTCCAGAGAGGCTGTGAAGTCTTCCTCCTTGGAGACCATAAGTTGTCTTAGCATCAGCATAGTCCTCAGCAATCTGCTCTAGGTGTCCATGCTTGAGCCAAGGATTGGATCATGTGACCAATTCTCCAGAGGTCCCTGATAAACTCAAACGTTCTGTTTACGTTTAGGTTCATCAATTATACAAATACTGAAGAGACTTAGCATAATACAACAACACTGGATGCCAGGTAAGTAAAAGGGCTTGGGCTGTATGTCCACTCCCTGAAAAATTCCTTGTTTTGTCAGTCTTGGAAACAGAATACTGTGCCAGCTGGATATTTCCTATGGCATTATGAAAATTACAGTACATATGCTAAACTGATCAATTCTTTAGATACCCAAAACCATAACAGTTAGCATAATCATTACTGATACTTAGTATTTGTAGTATAGAAATTATATAAATAGCTAGTCAGAATTGGAGAATTCATAACTTAGACTTGAAAAACAACAAGAAAAGCATTCTCAAATAATATAAATTACTAGTAACTACTAATACCAAAACAAAACAAAAAGAAAAAAGAAAAAAAAGATAAGACTGCTTTAAAACATCTGCTCATAGTTGATGCAAAATTCTTTTGGGCTTTATTGTTATTGTTCTTTTTGTTTTTTGAACAAGCATCCTATTTTATTATATTGGTTCATGACATCCGAGGCAGATGGATGTTGGTGATACAACAGTAGAGGATGAACCTTCTCACCAATATTCGCTACATTTTGTGACCATGTGACAGATGACGGCAAAGGGGCAGTCTGACTGAATGGAGTCTGACATGGAAGAGTGTATGAAGCAAAAGTGTATTACTGAATTCCTCTATGAGGAAAAATTTGCATTCAGTAACATTCATCAATGTTTATGGAGAGCAAACAGTAAATGATAAGCACAGTGAGGTGGTGGGTGCTCTATTTCAGCGCTGGCAACAGCAACATGAAATACAAGACATGCTTTGCAAGGCCACGGAGATTTCTCACAAGCATGGCATGAAGGCTCTTCTTCATTATTGGTGAAAATGTGTAGCTAATGGTGGTAACTATGCTGAAAAATAGTGTTTTGTAGATGAGAATCTGCTCTATCAATCAGTATTATTGCTCTTTGTACTTTTCCAGTACAGTTTCCAGAGAAATAAACAGGAGGCATTACTTTCAGAGCAACCTATGTATTTCATTTCAGAACTAGGAAAAAAATGATAGATCCTTAACGCTGTTAAAATGTCTTAAAATTTTATTTCCTATATTGCATCTATTTTTTTTTTTTTTTATCATTTCTTAATCTTTTGGGTTTTTTTTTGCTGCTGTTTGATTTTGTTTTTAAACACTGGGACAGTTGCGCATGATAACATGGATCACTTAATACTCAGAATTGGCAAAGACTTCCTCAAAAAAAAAACACCAACTTTTCTTCAATTTATAATCTTGATGTAAAATTTATTTACTTCCATCATGTGAGAACTGCAGTATAAATGTTACTGTATTTTAAGCCATTATACTATTATTATACTCTCGGGGAATTTCTTAAAACACGTAAAATATTATTTTAGCTAAGGTTGTACTACACTCAGGCTTTTGGTTCACTCTTTTGAGGTAAGCTACTTTTATTCCAGAAGCAAACTACATTTTTTAAATCATCTGTGATCATTTACTGAATCCAAAGCAAAAAATAAAATAATAAAATTATTTTCCTTTTTTTTTTTTTCCTGGAGCAAAAAAAAAAAAAAGAACTTAAGAACTTGATAAAATATTCAATGAATTATTCAAAAGAAAGCACTTACAAGTGCAGAAAGCATAAAATTCTAATGCTTTAGCACCAATTTAAAGTGCCCTCTTCGAATTACAAGCAAACCAATGGCTGATGACTGCAGTAAACTCCTTTGCTATTAACTAAAGCTGCACAGAACAACAGCCATTTCATGGGCACAGTAAGGCAAGAAAGAACCTTTACAGCAAGCTCCTATTCATGTGCCTGAGCACACATCTAGCATTTCAGTCAGGATTCATTTCACCCAGCTTTTAACAGCATCTAAAATGTAAATGTCTACATCTGAGTTAGTGACATCAGGTTCTTTTTAGATGCGAAGATGGCAAATGGAATCTTCTAAGGGATTATGTCACTCCTCACATGCATCACACCTTAAAACCTGCCTGATCCTGCCTACAGACTGTAAAATGAGTCTAAATCCAATAGACTCATTATACACATCATCTGAGGTTAGCCTAATGAATGCTATCCTTACAGCATAAGCCACTCAAAGCCTGACTCTACAGTAAGTGTGCTAATCCCTGAAGCCACTGGTTCCAAAGCAGTACCAAAGGAGAAAAAAACCAACAACAAAAAAACAAACAAACATGATGACCAGAAAACTGGTTGCATGAAAGATTATATGAATTGCATTCTCATCAAAATATGTCCATGGCATATTGTCTTCTATTTCCAAATAATCAAAAGGCCTATATGCTGGCAATTCCTCACTCATTTATTCAATGTCACTTACAAAGCAACACGCTACAACTAAATCTCTAGGCAAGAACTACCTTACAATAAATTTGAACGCTACAAAGATTATCGCCCTTATTCCACTTGAACTACATTATATTGTCTGGTAACACTACATTAATTCCATGTATGTTGTACTTACAGTCTAAATCTTCTACTGCTAAAACCTGATTCCTCCCCAGATTAATTACCAACGTCATATCAAATTATACAAAACAGTAATTCATCTGTGCATCTAGAGGCTGACAGATAGGTACTAGTGCAAAAATTTAATTTTGGACAAACAACTTTAATCATAACATGTAAAAATATTTGATTTAATAACACTAATTTTTCAAACAAGTATAAAATCAACTTATTCCATCTTCTACACAAGAAAACCATTTGGCACTCATCAGATGTACTGGAAAGAAAGAACGGGCTTCAAAAACGTAATTTGCAACAGTTTCCTGACTTCCCATTCAAACACAATTCAGTATTTCACTCAATCTTGACTGGCATGATTAGAACTGGCAATGTCCTTATTCAAATATCTTTGAGAGTTGACAGTCTTGCTATTTGTCAGTCATTCTTTTTTTGTAAAGCTTCCCGAACAGAAAACCTCAAGCTCGTGTGAAAACTACTATTGAAGTAGCATCTGGCTTCTACAGACTTGTTTAAGACCTATCTATCTAGTTGTCAGTCTGGATATAGAGCTGGAACTAAGAGCTCCAGTGGCAATGGTTCACCTGTCCAAACTGATTTCTTGTTGCCCACAGTTTTGCTGCTGATACAATAACATTCTCACTGCATTCCTGATGTGCACCATGAGTTGTTTAGCTAGAAAAATAAATGGAGACTTTGGCAAACTCTAAAGTTCCCTGAATAGGGGAAGGAGAGATCGGGGTGCCAATCTCTGCTCCCTGGGAACCACTGCCATGACCTTCGGGAATGGCACAAAGTTATGCCAGGAGAGGTTCACTGGATATTAGGAAAAATGTATTTACCACGAGGGTAGTCAAACACTGGAACAGGCTTCCTCTCCTAGTGAGGTGGTTGATTCCCCATGCCTGTCAGTGTTCAAGAGACATCTGGATAATGCCCTCAATAATACACTTCAACTTTTGTTTAGCCCTGAAGCAGTCAAGCAGTTGGACTGGTTGTTCTTTGTAGGTCCCTTTCAACTATTCCATTTGAACTGCAAAATGAAAACAGAGAACTAAAGGGATAGTAATAGGGAATAATTAAGTTACTGCACTGTATCTAATAACAACAAAAGTAAGTAAAAACAAACTCTTTAAAACATAGCCAATTATACTGGCTTTATGCAATAGCAAATGCTGAAAAACTTGCTTTAGTCAGCAGCATGGTTATAAAATGGTTTGCTTTCTTGTAAACAGAAAGTATTCCACAGTTATTTCTTGACATTCACCTCAAAAGCAAATTAGCATTTAGAGTACAATATTTCTTTGTGGAAACACAGGTAGAATGAATACAAAAACAGACCTTCCAAAATGTCACTAGTGAAACAAACATGGAAATAAGACTGTTCAAAACATTATTAACAAAGCCAGTTGATTCTATTGACTCTTCTCTTTCCAATTAGCTAGCATTTTTAATAATGTATTAGTTCAGTTGTCCCTTCTACTCAACAACTTAACCACCTTAAAATTCAATATTTTGGGGTTTTTTGTTTTTTGTGGTTTTGTTGTTGCTGTTTGGTTTTTTTTTTTGTTTGTTTGTTTGTTTTAAGTCTGGAGAGAGAATTCACAAGATTTCTACTACATATGAATAAAAATGACAAGATGAGATGGTTCTGTTGCTGGTCCCAGAACCTTCTTTTTAGTCAGACAGTTTCATCTAAAACTAGAAATGACGGGAAAAAAAATGCCAAGCACACTATCCATTCTGACTGATTCTGTAACTCAAATGTTCTACCAGTTTTGTCCAAGTTTGCTCAAATCTATAAAATGCAAAACATCACCAAAGAAGGCTAAGCCATAACAACAAACAAAACCTGTCAAACTTAATATCATCAAAAATCTGCTTCAACAGAAACAAACATCATCTTCATAAGAAGCTACTCTTTGTTTCAGAGATACAGACTAAGCATAGATGTGTGACTCTTTCTGTACCAATTACAATTTCACGTCTTAGGCACTTCCACTTATTTGTGAAGGAATTCAACAAGTCATTTTCCTACAGCATACATTTTCTACAGTTCCTATAACATTCATTCTATTAGGATAGTAGCTACACAAAGAAAGGACCTTACAAATATTTGTGGCTTGCTGAAAGACTTTAAAAGCCATCAATTCAACTTTCTAATCACAACTTACCTAAAGCACTGTTGAAAATTGCAGTATAGAATTCTTAAATTAATAATAATTTCTTAACATAGTAACTTGAGATTACTAACTTCAACACTTCTCATAAAATTCCTGTACTTCTTGCATCAAAAATTATACAGTCTGTAGACTGTAACTGTAAAAAGCTGAATTCTTTAATATTTAATATTAAAAACAGTGTTTAGAGAAATGATTAAGCATTATTGCATAATGCAGTCAGTATGGTTGGCAAATATTTTTAGGCCCTGCAGGCTACTAAAGGAATCAGTTCCCATGCAAAGCTGACTTTCAATTTCATCAGCAACATTATACATAAGACACATATTTTGCTTAATTCCTACAGATACTTGGACAGTAAAGTCTAAATTCTTATAACAGAAAAGTTCACAGCCAACATGTTATGCTTTACGACATTAAATGCAATTTGAATCCTGTAAAACAAAGCATTTCCAGCAGTGTTACCTCACCCTTTGTAATTCCCACTTTTCTATAAGATGCTCCACTTCACCTCCGAGAACTGCAGTGTTACTATCATCCAGCAGCAAGAATCCATTTCTTACTTCAATAATTCCAGAAAGTTTAATTTTTGTTCCAGGTGGAGTGTTCAAGCTAGAAGCAGAAACGAAATCAAGTATTTCAAACATGTTATTTAATATTCTAACATCAAAAGCCTGGAAAACTATACTCCTATTATACTTTCAGCATTGTCATATTCCATTATAAATGATTAGTATCAAAAACCTTCACAATACTTCCTTCAGTTCACACAGCAGTTTTCAATAGCTTTTCTGGAACACTTCCCACTCATTATACAAAGATGCCATATTGCAAATTACATTCTAAGAGAGATGAATGTTTGCAAATGATCTGTTTGGTTAAAATGCAATTTAACAGTACCAAACTAAGGATGTGATTTGCCTACCCTACAAAAGATGTCTCAAAGTCAGATGTCTAAGTATAAGTTTCCTAACCCTAGTACTCATTTATAGTTGAGCAACAGAAGATTTCTAGATGCTTAATCAACTCATTTGTTTCAGACATTTAACTTAGAAGAAAAAAAAAAGTAGTTAGAAAAGACACCTTCTATACACTACTAACAGCCAGGACTGTTCCAGAATAAATACAGACTATGCACCTTGTGGTGCTTCTTCTTTCATTATTCTTTGATTTAAAATCAGATAGAGATTCTTTGCGGACAGCTCCCGCAAGTAGATACCTATCTTCTTTGCATTTGAATCCATCCTATAAGAACAACAGCAGATGCATAAAAGAATCGCTCATTTCCATCTCCTAACTGAAAGATATGACAAGCAGCAAAATCTGGAAAGAATGATTTTTATTGCAAGACACAAAAGAGGACAGAGTCAATTATAACTTTTCAAATAGGAGACAGTAACCTCTTCAAAATATCGTAAAGATATCACTGCAATTACAGAACAATGCCACATACTTAGGAACAATCACAGTGGAGTCAGCCAATTTTAGTTCTAGCGACTTCAACCTCAGCAGTATTAATGGATTTTCTTTAATGTTCTGATAGAAGCAAAGAAAAAAAATGGAAAAGTTTATATCATTACTACACAAAGTGATGAGCTGTGATGTTTTGGAGATCTTACCTAAAAAGCTTTCAGATTAGGTCTTCAACTGGCTGTTTATGTATAGTATGATCTAGAATCTATTCACACAGAAGTGTTTGCCTCCCTTTTCTGCTCTTTTGATATTCATATTGGAATGAGATATTCTAAATTGTGATTGCTAAGCTAAAACTGAAGTATTATTAAATGCTGACTTTTAAAACAGCATTACTCTAAACTGCAGGGTAGCTCTTACTCAGAAGGAACAGTTGAACAGTAAAAGGAGACATATAAAAACAAAGCATAAAGGTTCTGTGCAACAGAAGAAGACACAGGAAGATGATCTTAAACCAAACTAATCTGGAATTAAGAGTAAAATAGACCATAACTCCAGAGACTATGCACTGGAAATCGTTTTCAGTGTCTTAATGACCAAATATCAAGAAATTCCCATACTCAGTTCATTTGTATTTTATTTTTAACTGGTAAAAAAACAACCAAAACTAAAAAAAAAAAAAATAAAATAAAATAAAATAAAATAAAATAAAAAAACAAACACCTTACAAAAGCAGCCTAAGTTAAAATCTTGGTCAGGGAAAAGCATCACTAGTTGCATGAACTTCAGTGCATCAGGCCTGTGACATGCTCACTACCAAGTCAGACAAAATACATGCTAAAAATGGAAATTTGGCTCAGGTTCATACACACTGAAAAGCCTGCTTGCCTTGTTAAGTCTGACCCACCAGACAGCTGCAAAAATTCTCTTTCTTGCACTATGTACTTTAGCATAAATTCCATATTTGTAATTGTAAATTCCATAAATTTCATAAATTGTATTGTAATTCCACCTTCACAGGTGACATTTAAGGTTCTCTTGTACATTAAAAAAAATCTGAGAAGGAAACAAGAATAAACCAAAAACTATGACTGCCTGAAGTATTCACTAGTTTCATGCATCTCCACCAGATTTTGTCATTAATTTTAAATTTGTTAATGTTTCTTTAGTCTGGAGGTTACTTATCATCCTAAGTATCACCTGGGTAGAGCTGGAGGACAAATCAGGATCTCATAAAAAAGCTGGGATACACAGAAGTGAATGAGGTGTTGTTTTGGTTCGATTTTATTTAATATAGAGAGGTAGAACTCTACTGCTGTGCTACAACTTAACGTTAGACTTTCTTTCATTGGGGTTTCAAATGCAACAGATGCAGCAGAACATGCAAGTTTTCTGCTAACACAGAGAACAGATAGCAAAACTAAATTAATTTTTAAATGAGAAGAAAACAGTAAAGAAAAAGATCAAGAGAGATAGACAAGATAATATAATCAAATTAAATCTTTTGCAGTCCAATTTTTCCATCAAAAAACAGCTTTCTTTCCTTATATATTTCTAATTCCATTATTTTTAGGGCATTTAAGTATGAAAGCAAAACTTTGAAAAGAAAGTCGCTCACCTTATTTTTGACATGCTATTGTATTCTATAGCTGTGCAGCTTGTATGTCCATCAGTCATCTGTAAACGTAACATTCTGGGTGCAGCCTGAGATTCTTCATTATCCTTTGGTGCAGAAACATTGCGTATTTTCTGTATTTGCAGAACACATGGCCCTTCCAGCTACATGTGCAAAACAGAAAAGAAAAAAATGTTAACACCATGAAGCAAACACACTACGATACCAAGCCATACTAACTTTGCCCCCAGGCAAAGTGAAGTGCAATTTTATCACAGTCACTTACAATACCTATCATTCATACTGTATGTTGTAAAACATGACAAAAATGTTTTTTTTTTCTGAGAAACAGCTGCAATATTTCATACGTATCTGCAATACTAACTATGGAAAAGAACTTAAGGAAAGACTTATGGGGAAGTCCTTGAAAACCTAATGAGGTTCAGTAAGACCAAGTGCAGTTGGGGCAATCCCAGGTGCTTATACAAACTGAGGGAAGATCTCCTTGAGAGCAGCCCTATGGAGAAGGATTTGGGGGTCCTGGTGGACAAGAAGCTTGATATGAGCCAGCAGTGTGCACTTGCAGCCTGGAAGGCCAACTGTACTCTGGGCTGCATTAAAGAAAGGGTGGCCAGCAGGGAGAAAGAGGTGATTGTCCCCCTCTACTCAGCTCTTGCAAAGCCCCATCTGCAGTACTGCATCCAGGCCTGGGGCCCCTAGTACAGGAAGGATGTGGAGCTCGAGGGCCACTAAGATGATCAGAGAGCTGGAGCTCCTCTCCTATGAGGAAAGATTGAGCAAACTAGGATTGTTTAGCTTGGAGAAGGCTCCAAGGAGACCTCATTGTGGCCTTCCAGTAATTGAAGGAAGCATATAAACACGAGGGGGAACGGCTGTTTACAAGGGTGGATAGTGATAGGACAAGGGGGAATGATTTTAAACTGAGACGGGGGAGGTTTAGGTTAGATACTAGGAAAAAGTTTTTCACACATAAGTTGGTGATGTACTGGAACAAGTTGCCCAAGGAGGTTGTGGATACCCCATCCCTGGAGGCATTCAAGGCCAGGCTGGATGTGGCTCTGGGCAGCCTGGTCTGGTAGCTGGCAACCCTGCACATGGCAGGAGGGTTGAAACTAGATGATCACTGTGGTCCTTTTCAACCCAGGCCGTTCTATGATTCTATGATGAGGGGGGATGAGGGAAAGGGACAAAAAAATAAATAAAAATGAAAAGCAAAACAAAACAATAACAGTAAACAAATATTGTCTTTTCTAAATAATGTGGAGTTCAGGTAAGATCTTACATGGTGTACCACCAGTTTTCATAGACAAAGTGTTCTAAATTAAAAAACAAGCAGCATTGAAGACTTACTGCAATTACAGTATTTCAAGTAAAACCATTTTGTAAACACCAACTAGGAACACCTAATAACCTCAAGGGACATGAGAGATTCTTGGTTACCTGAAAGTGCAGTATATACTTCTATATATGACATAACTTACGTAACCAACAAAAAAAGGAAATTAAAAACTACTTTCTTGCATACAGCTGAATAAATAGTCAAGATGTTTTTTTTTCCTATTCCTTCACTTTGTGGGGAAGTAGGGTCCTATCTGATTCCTCTGAGAAATAAAACTGAAAAAATCTGTTGCTTTAGCACCCAAGAGAGAAGAACAGATGAAAAATGCACATTTCCTCAATTTCTTCCCTTAAAGGATGCAAAGACAAGGAAGGAAAGCTGAACTGGAATATTCTTAAAGCATGAAATCATACAGACAGGAAAAAGAAAATTTTAGATCTGGATGCTTGCTTTTGTTTTTTAACAACTGCTTGATAGACTCCTTAGAAATCCAGAGTGCAAAGAAATGAAGGCTAGGCTAACTATGAATATGTATGCAAATAAATTCAGGTTTTCTTATCTACTGTGTCAGGCATGCATTACAATAAAGCACAGCTGCACATTTGTTGAGCTTAGACAATGGTGTCTGCTTCTTTAACAAAGAAAATCATGTTATTACAAAAAAAAACAGGTGCAAAAGAAGAATAGAAGCATGTGGTTTTCTTAAATACATCCTATATTAACGACAAAACAATTTTTTGGACTTTAACAGGATTATAGAGCTTCCCCATTTCCCAGTCTCAATTCATCTCAGTTGATATTTCAGTTCTCATATAATCTTATGAGATCATATAATGATGGCAGAAAATAAAGCTAGTCTTTCCGCAGAACAAGAAACACCATCACAAGACAGTAGGTGAATCCAGAATCATAGAATGGCTTGGGCTGCAAGGAAGCTCAAGCATCATCTACTACCAATCCCTTTGCAGGCAGAGTTGATGGTCATTAAGTCGCATACTAGATCAGGATGCCCAGGGCCTTATCCAGCCCAGCCCTGAGCACCTCCAGGGAGGAATATTACACAACTTCTATGTGCAGCCTGTTCCAGCACCTCAGAATCCTCTCAGTGAAATATTTACATCTGACATCTAATCTAGATCTGCCCTCTTTCAGTTTAAAACCATTCCCCCTTGTTCTATCACTATCTACCCACGTAAAACACTGATTTACCTTCTTCTTAAAAGCCCTCTTTAAGATTTGAGACCATAACGAGTTCTCCCCAGAGCCTTCTCTTCTTCAGGCTGAACAAACCCAGCTCCCTCAGCCTGTCTTTGTAGGATAGGTACTCCCAGCCTTCTGATCATCAACTTATGCTAGGTCACCCTGTAGACTACTTTAAAGAATCAGCATTACTCACCCTGTAGAAATCATTTTAACTTTACCAAGTTAAAATTACACAGAAAAGCTATTTAATAGTTAAAATTCCAAGTAGCTGGATCTTGCTGAGTATGCTAAAGAGTCTCATCAAACTCAGTAACAGCTAGACTCTGACGGTGCCATTTTGACATTCATCAATCCAACACTAAAACCTCCCTAGATCACTCAGCTGTGCTCGATCACAGCTCCTTCAAGCCACAGACTCTTCTCTCTTAGCACTTCAGCTAACTTCTAATGTAGAAATGAAAAATATGCAATTCTCATAAAATAATTTTCTAAAATTTCAAAGAAACAGCAAACTAAACTGTACTACCTGGAACATAAGAATGAAGGCATCACCTAAATAATATGGGACTGAATACAAGTAAACATTCACTTCAAAAACATTTACTGACTGGACAAGTAATAACATGCATATTAAGGCTAGAATGATGTGAAACACACTTCAGATGTCCTTGCATTAAAGACAAGAGAAATAAGTATAAAACTAAATAAATTGCATTTTTAATGCCAGACCACTAGGTGTATAAACAGCTTTCAATGGCTAAATCTAAAGGATGCAAATAAGTCAAGAGTACAAAATGTAAGTAAAATAAACTAGGGAATGAGGTCTGGCTTTAGCCATTATTAATCCCATTATGAATAATCTGGTTAGCATTTCAAGATGAAAAATAGAATATCATCTTATACTATATATGGCATTATACTATATAATGTCATTACAATATTCATACTATCTGTGAAAACTATTAGGTAAGACAGAACACAAACTTGAAACAGGAGAAAGACAAAAGAAACATCTGGAAGTTGAGGTTTAATTAATTCAATTTGAAATTGAATTGCAAAAATTAGGCATGTACATTAACAGAGGTGATAATGAATTTCAAGAGTAAGCTACTGTTTTCTACAACAGACTGTATTAAAATCAAGTACCAGTAATCCAGAATGCACAAAGATGACAGGATCCCATTTCCTGGTGGTGGTGAGTTCTTTTGTTTGTTTTGAGTTGCTTTTTTTTTTTTTTTTTTAAACAGCATATCAGCTTCCCTATTTCAGTTCATTGCCCTTCTCATTGATGTTACTGACTAACCTCAGTAATGGCTTTTTTTTTTCATTCAATTGAGACCTTATGTGAAACATTTGTCAAAAATCACACTCAGAAGTAAACTTCAGTCCACCTTGCAATGCCTTCATCATTGCGTATTTATTTATTTAGAGAGCCATTTATCAAGAAAACCATGTTTAGACAAAGCTTAAATTTCCTCAGCTTATATTTCATAGACACGTGGTATGAAACATCATACCACCATACCACTCCTTATTTATCCATAAAACCCAGCAATGCTAATTCAAGAACATACATGACTCTTATATAGAAAAATAAACAAAAAACAGAGTACGCAAATATCCACAAGGATAAAATGCACTCTAGTATTGTAATTGAATTGAGTCCAGAAAGACATTTCACTCACGTACAGTTAGTTGAGAAGTTTCTTCAACATGGCTAAGCATAAGGATCTCACATAATGTTCAGGGGGGAA